CGATTCTAACTTGTAGCAGCCCTGTATAGGGTTTTTGAGGAGTTGCTGTTGGACTTGAACCTCCGACCTTGTAGTCCAGTGCTTACCATACAGCCCCACACCAGAACTCCTTACAGGAGTGGACAGCCTCATCTTTTCTATGGTGCAACTGGTGGTATTTGAATCACCAACCTGTGGTTAGCAGCTTAATGATTGCCCCACTGTACTATCGGAGCTCCATGGAGAGACATATACCACAGAATGCAGTTCTCCACTAAGAGATCCCCATCAGACATTTCTCTGCTCAGTCCCCCACTCCCTGTGTCTCTAATGGTTTTCTTTCTATCTCTGCCTCTCTGTCCCCTTCAGAACTCGGCTTCCACCTTAGTCCATCCTCTAGCCCTCCTATTCCCTTTTAGTTATGTAGCCTAGCTTGTTGAATATTCATGGCTATTTAAACATTCTGAGCACTTACCTTTCACCCCAGTTATCGTCATAGATTCTTTCTTCTAAATTAGTATCAGCTTTCTATGGGAGGAGTTCTGGTGAGTATATTTGTCTTTCTTCCACACACAAATATGTATATGTATATACACATACCATGTTTCTGATGTATTCCTTAAAACTTTGGCTCAGATCATAATTGATGAACAAAATGCTTAGAATATCCTGAATACGTGAAAATGGATGAGCTAAATCAATGGAGTTGTAGATTTCTGCCTTTTAAAACACTATTCAGGCATAACCAATCGCTAAACATTGATGACTGCAGACCATATGAATGATGAGCTTGTGATTCTGTCTTACAAGATGATGTTGTTCTTCTTAAGCGCTGTCGAGTCGGTTTCGACCTATAGTGACCCTATAGAGGGTTTCCAAGGATCAGCTGGTAAGTTTGAAACACCAACTTTCCAGTTCAAATGGCTTTTCAGTCTGGCGCATTAACCAACAACACCACACCAGGATTCCTACAAGATCAATAAGGGGTTCCAGTTGTAAAATTCAATGCTTTGGATCTGTTGCTGCCCTGGTCAGAAACCTCCAGTGCACACAGTGCTTCCGCCAAATCCATGGACTTACAGACTACTTTATCTATCATTATGGTATCCCACACAGCATCGCCTTGACTCCAGGGACTCAGTTCACAGCAAATGAAGTGTAGCATTGGACCCATGCTCTTGGAATTCATGGGTTGTGCCGTGTTCTTCATCTTCCCGAATCAGCTGGCTTGACTGAACAATGGAATGGCCTTTGAAAGACACAATCGTAGTACTAGGTAGGTGGTAATACCTTGCAGGGTTGGGCCAATGTTCTCCAGGAAGCTGTGTATGTTCTCAACCCAGTATTTGGTTTTGTTTCTCCAATAGCCAGTATTCATGAGTCCAGGAACCAAGGTGTGGAAATGGAAGTGACACCCTTCAGGATTACTTCTAGTGACCCGCTCACAAATCTATTGTTTCCTGTCCCAGAAACACTATGCTCTTTGAGTCTGGACATTTCAGTTCCAAAGGGAGGACCAGTCCTCCCTGGAGACAAAACACTGATTCCACTGAACTGCCCTCTGGCCACTTAGGGCTCCTCATCCATCTGATCAACAGCCAAAGAAGGAAGTTAATGTATTGGATGGTATGATTGCTCCTGATTAATGAGGGAAAAGTAGATCGATGCTGTATGATGGAGATAAAGGAGAAGGATATCATGTTTGGTAAGGTGGAGAGTCAGAGAAAAAGAGGAAGACCCCCCCAGCGAGATGGATTGGCCAAGTGGCAGCATCCGTGGGCTCAAGCATGGCAACAATTGTGAGGTTGGCCCAGGATTGGCCAGTGTTTCATTCTGTTGTGCATAGGGTCACTATGATTCGGTACTGACTCGATGGCACCTGTCAACAACAACAGCAAAGAATTTGTGTAGAATCCAGAAGATTCCTTAGGATGTGTGTTAGTACTACCATGGCCTGTGATTAAAGTCATTGGTAAACTACAGCGACTCAATTCCAACATGACTACTCGTGGCTGAGACCCTTCACAATGAAGGTTTGGGTCACTCCAAGCAAAGACTCGTAACCAGCTGAAGTACTTGCTGGGGGCAATGGGATTATAGGTTGGGTAGCAAAAGAAGATAGTTCTAAATACTAGCTGACCATGTGACCAGTTGCAGAAACAAGGGCTGTAACAGTTAGCGGTCGTTTTTTTCTTGTATGTGTACCTCACATATACTCGTTTTGTTCATTTGTGAAATAGAAGATGCCAATGGGGTCAGTGTTTTGGTTATACACATGTTAGTAGTAGCATGTTGGGCACAAGCATGACTAGAATTGTCTTTAGAAATAGTTTATATGGTTTAAGGAGCTATGTACCTGTACCAAGTTGACAAAGGGTGGACTATGAGAGTTCAAGGTTTGTGTCAATTTGACTGCGTCAGGATTTTCATTGGTTTGTCAGTTAAGATGTAATTATCCCCCAGGATGAAATATAAGATAATGCAATCAATCTATGATGAGCTCTGCTATGAGACATGAATAGTAGCCTTTATTAGCAAATTTGAATTTCCTTTAAATTTTTATTCATTAGCATTGTCCAAAAGGATCCCTGGTAGCATAGTGGGTTATGAACTGTGCTGCTAACTACAGGGTCAGCAGGTCAAATCTCCCAGTGGTTCCCCAGGAGAAAGATGAGGCTTTCTGCTCCTGTAAAAATTTACAGCCTTGGAAACCCTATACTGTGTCACTATGAGTGGGAACCAACTCAGTTACACACAGCAACCACCACCAGTATAGTAAAAACAGGAACAAAAGTCAATCATGGGGTAAGACTATCTTACTCACTTGTGTGTCAAATATCTGGATGTGCTTAATATGTACCTGTTGAATAAATGTATAAGAATTTTTTGAGTCTTCCATAGGTTAAAGACAAACGAAAGTATCGTGGTTAACTCTTTTGTTGGTTTTTCCATTTAGCATTTATCTAAATGTTTGAGACAGACTCTTGAGCCAGATTGCTAACTTTTAAACTTACCTAGTTTCAAATATACTTGAAATACACTTAATAGCTAGATTTCCTTGAGCAACCCATACCTCCTTAGACTGCCTATCTGTGAAATGAGAGTAAAAATGCCTACCTTGTTGTTGCTGCTCTTAAATACCATGTAGTTTGTTCTGATTCAAAACAACATTTCATAGGGTTTCTGAGGAGTAGCTGGTGGGTTGAACCACTGATCCTGTGTTAGTAGTCCAGTGACTATCCTACACTTACGGAGCGAGTTAAAAAGATCAAGATACAGTTCACTGCCAGCATTCGTAGAAAAGTGCAAGTTTGTGGGGAAGTTTCAATGAATAGTTGCTGCTCCTGTTAAAGTCCTTGCTCTTGTTCCTAAGTGCTGTAGAGTCAGTTCTGACCCATAACGAGCCTGTATAGGATTTCCAACTTCGCAGTCTAGCACATTAACCCACAGCGCCGCACCAAGCTCCATGCAAAGTACTAACCTAGAGGTTGGTAGTTTGAGCCTACCCTTTATTACTGTAGAAAAAAAAAAAAGTCCTTTCAATCTGATTCCATTCTTACACTCTAGAAAAACCCTAAGGAATGGTTTTATTTTGTAACACACAGGTTTGCTATGAGTCCAAATGGACTTGCGGAAACGAACAACAACTGTTCTTAGCACTTTATCTTGATACTGTTACAGTCAGTGCAAAGTTTCTGTATATACTCCACAACACAGTAATGAACCACAGAAACAAAACATGAAATATTAACTAAAACTTTGACGTTCTTGACTTATTTTTCACTGTGAGATTAGCATTACTATTATCTTGAAATGTGTTCATTGGGAAGATTTAATGAACAGGAGTTGTTACGTTACAAAGAGCTATTATGTTTGGATTGTGCAATGTGCCAGACCAGGGAGAAAGATTGATGAATCTGAAGGGCCCCTCACGCTATTACTATGCATAACATGAAAAACAGAATGGCTTACAGATTTCAGCATTCTTTATAATTCCTTTGAAAGCCAAGAGCAAATCCCAAAGGTATTTAAGAAAGGGAAAATTTGAGATGTAACTTGATGTTGAAAATGGAGAGTCATAGCCTGAGAGTAGACAGCATGATCTATGAGGGCAGAGATAACATCGATCATGTTTTCTGCTTTATCCCCAGCATGTAACACTTAATAGGTGTTTTACGAGGGGCTTCAAAGAGTTCATGGAAAAATTCCATTATTGTTTAATTCCACGTTTCCACAAACTTTCTGAAGCCACCCTCCCCCACCTCTCATGATTTGTGGAATAACTGAGTGTGTGTATCACAGAATTACTACTAGTGCTAATGGAAGTTAGATCACCTTACATGCATTCATGATGTTTAGGGAACATCACACTGCATGTATATTCCTGAGGAAGAATGGTTTAAACCACAGAACTAGAAGCTAAATACTAAATAACTGAGAGTGTCCCAACATCTCCCACAGGTTATTTGAGAGAAACGTAATTAGAAAAAAAAAAAAAAAAAGTATGTTGAACATATTTCTTCATCATCACCCAGTGTTCATTGTCGAAGATTACTTATTTCTGTCTATTAAGCCTGGTTTTTTAAAAATTCACATGGTTTTTTATTGTTTATGTATATACAGATATATATTTCCAGACCTAGCTGCCAAAACAGCTGAAATAGATATATAATTGTTTCTTAACTTACTGTTTAAGACAACATCAACACGTAAAAAATACTCATATTTCACTTTCCCATTTACTGTTAGAAGTCTAACACCCATTAACACTATTGATAATTTACAGAATGCTTTTTTCTTTTGTTTCTCCTTCCTTCCCTCTTTTGGCAAATGAATGGTACCAGTAAAAGCTTTCAAAAGCATTACCAGGCACTACAGTGTTAAAGCGCTGCTTGAGTTGTGGAAGAGTTAGTGGGCAGGTATTCGAATTCACTGTAGCTATAATAGAGGGTAATGTCACTTTAAGACATGTGATACTTTCCAGAGGAGGGATGTATTGAAACCGGCAGCCTGGCTCTTACATTTGGCTGCCTTACTCTGCCCTGAATGCACTATGAATGGTCCGTCACTGACTATAAACTGAATCTCATCAGGAAAACTACACATTATCTCACCATCACTTCAAAGGTCTCGCCAGGCAGAGGTGACGCCAGGAAATGATTTAAAGGTGAAAATGACAAGGTTTCCTCCTCTCAAACCTTGGCTCCTTTTCTGACAATGCAGTCTGAATGAACCCTGATGTCTTCTTTACCCTGGAAATAGGATTGGAAGAGAGAGAGGAAACAATTTTTAATCCTGATAAAGAAGATTATTGGGAAGCTGGTTTTCAAAAACTCTAATATTGTGGCACAGATGGATTTTAAAAAGTGTTAGATCTTTCCAATGAACACTAATAGAGTTCTCTGCTCTTGGCTGGATTTTTCAGGTAAGAAGCTTCTTTAGGATTTAAGATTCTGAAAACAGATTTGAAACATATTCAACCAGATCTAGAGAACTATGTGAGGCTGGCTGTATTATCCGGGGGACTCCTATTAACACAAGGATAGCTTCTTAGTAATCAGAGTGAACAGTGAGAGATAATCAGGAACCTTGCAAGTAATGCTGAGAATTACAGAAAGTTTAAATTAAAAGAAGAAGAAGGATGAAAAACAATGCAAATGCAAAGCCACAGTGATCTTTTCGAGCGTTAATATCTATGTGGGTGAATAAATGAGCAAGTGAAGGCAGTCATTGAAAACCTGTCAAGTTTTGATGATGCTAGAATTTTTTTCAAGTTTCATTTCCAGTGCCTTTTAACTATGCATGCTATAGTTACCTTTGTTTTGTCTTTCTGTAATTTGCAGGATAGTCTAAAAAAGGGCCTCAAAATGCAATTCATTTTAGCATTCACAGGTAGGCTGTTGCTATTTATCTCAATTGAAGAGAATGTATCCATGTTATACTGGTAGTTCTCCAGACAATGAGACAAAACAAAGTATGCTGTGTACGAAAGTAAACAGTGGGCAGTGAAACTAATTACAAAGTGAATGGTCCATCTGAATCACAGACTGGGGCATGAATGGCCCCATGAGGTTGAAAAGCAGGTTTTTCTAATTTGGACCTCATTAGACTTGTCATAACTTATCTAGTATAATAATCAAAAACCTTCTCAAAGACTGCATCTCTCTCCTATAGTCTGTGCACAGACACAAAGACTGTGTTACATGCACAAATATATGTATGTCTATACAAAGCATATTATTGCTTTCTGAGCATTAGATTACTGAAAGAGTACGAATTTTCATAGATAAAGGAGCCGTGCTGGGAAATTATTAGCAGATTTTGAATGGATAGTTGAAATTATTGACGGTTATGCTTTGACAGTGGGAAAGACAGAAACAATCTTGGTTCTAAAGCCCCCTTTCTCCCTAAGGAAAAAAAAAAAAAAAGCAAATAGTTAACAGGAATTTTGCATAGAACATGCTTCCCTAGGAATATGGAAGATGCCTCAAATTTGATTAATTTGGCAATATGAAATGCGGCATAAGGTGTTCTTGGAGAAATTGGACAATATGTAGCGCAGTTGAGCCTTGTAGCTCTAAGATCCTCCTAGGTGTGAATGAGACTGTCAAAGTTTCCGTGCCGGAGAAAAGGTAGATGTTCATCCAAATATACAGGTACCACCTGTATATGCATATTCGTCCATGCCACACTATACAACAAATGCCACAGTGGAATCTTAGGAGAAAAAACAACCTTGTAAATGATGGCTTGCTCTACAATCGAAGCGTAGATCTTGCTTCTAAAACTCATCCTGGTTAAAGACAATTCTTTCTGATTTTAAGTCCAGCCAAAAAGACTTGTTCTAGCAGAAGATTACAACATGCCTCTGAGAAATGATTACTTAGTTTAGAAGACAGCATTGTGATTAAAAATTCATGACTGTAGAATTAAAAAAACAACAACCGTACTCTTTCCTTCCAGGCTTATGTCAGACTTGCAATGAAGTTAGAGCAAAAACAGGAGAAGGCTGTTTTTCAATGCCTGGGCTCACTACAGTTTAAATATCATGGTATAAAGTGGGACTTTTCAGACAGCATTCCAAACTGCCAGGTTTCAAACTACCTGCTAGTCAAAAACTTTATTTTTGTATTTTGGCAACCCTTGGAGCTTTGTTTTGCAGACTTTCGAAAATTTAATTTATGATCTCCTAGAAAGTGCTCTCCTTCAGTCCCACTTCACTGCATGACCTCTGCTGGATTATTAATTCTTGCCAGCAAAGTAGCAAAGGAACAGAACGTGTGAGCCCTCCTTCAGTAGGACTGACTGAGCTGGAGGTTTGAAGCTAAGGGTGATCCTTCTGTCTAATGTTCTTTCTAGAGAATGGCCATGGTCTCTACGATGCCCTGGGCCCTGTATTTGTGGATAAGTGCTTGTGCAATGCTGCTGTGCCAGGGATCCCTGCAACACACTTTCCCGCAGCACCACCTGCACAGACCAGGTAAGCAGGAGCTGGCTTTACTGCAGCGTCCTCCAGCCTCACTGTTGTCTCTTTAACAGATGGTTGAATGCCAGTGAAGGAAAGCAGTATGCTGGGGGCAGCTTGCAGATGAATTTTAAGACATAGTGTTTGCTGGATGCTTTGTGGACAATTGTTTTTGTTAAGTGGGAACAAGGCATTTTAGGGATGCTAAAATGCCTTGAAAGTATTCTATTAACTTCTCAGAAAAGGGGTTCTTTCTCAAAGAAAAACACACCCTGAAAAGAAGAAGCTGTTTGTGTTGGTTTGCTTTGGACAGTAGCAAAATATTCTGCAAAGGTAGGAAAACTTTCAAGACTCCAGAATATTGGGAGCTGGGGAGGAGGAGAGAAAATATGATCTTTGCAGTTGACAAAAAGAATTAGTGCCTTTGCACCTAGTACAGACACTGCAATTCTTGTCTGCATGTGGCTTAGAATTCTGTGGTCGTGGTAGTTGCAAAACTTTGCAAAAAAGTTGTCAATGAAAAAAAAAATTAAAAAGTAACTTACTATTTCTTGTCTGGTTTAACTTGCCTCCATTCCTCTCTCCTTTCCTTCAATGTCTGTTTTTGCCGTAATATTGCCCAGTGGTTTTTCTTTCTTTCTTTCTTTCTTTCTCTTGACACTTTTTTCAGTGCCGAGTTCGCTTTCGCCTGATCCTGCCCGCCCCTCCCCCCTAATGAATATTGAGTTCCGCAGGTGGTATTTAACGTTCTCCGTCTCTGCATTAGAAACACACGGTCTCCACAGCTTTGCTTGTTTATTACTGTGCTCCAGCCCGAACGTCCGTACCTTCACTGGTTGTCGGAAAAAAAATCCTTCCATTTTCTGTTTGGCTTCCGCTGTTGCACCCTTTCACTACACCACCTCCACTGCAACTTCTCCAGTCCCTCCCACCCCAACTTCACCAGCTCCTCTCGATCCAACACGCCCGTTTGTTTGTTATTTTGCGACCTGGTCCAGGCTTTGGGGACCAGATGCGCACCCTTGCTCCAGATCCCAGATCTCAGGTTCTCCCAGGCCTCCACCCACCTCTCCAAATCCCTTCCCGCTGCCTCCATTCTGCGCAGTTTCCTTCGCGGAGCAGTCGGGAGTCTTTACGCCTTTGCCTTGCTAAGGCCCTGCAGCAGTCTAGGCACTGATCCCAGGCTGTTCCGTAGAGTGCTTCAGAAACACCTCGAGCGGCGTCGCTTGCAGCCTTCCGGGCGGGCTCTCCTGGTAGGGTGAGACAGGATTCAAAGAGCTCCCGTGCAGCGTGGGTCCTCCGCGCGCCTGCACCCGGCTGCAGGGAGCGCACAAGCTTGCTGTTCCTGAAGCCAGGCCGCCCTGGCAGGAGGCGCAGGGACACCTTGAGTGTGGGCTTGCTGTTGCCCATTCCCCACGCCCTGGAGCCCGCTGGGAAGGCTAGGGGGCACTGGCGCCCCTGCAGGTGAGCCGAGGAACCGATTTTGCTGCTGCTGAGCGGTTTTATTTCTGCTTCGGGTGTTCTGAGCTTCGAGTGGAAACCCGCCAGAGTCAGATGCTCCAATCAATGCTGAGGAGGGAGAAAAACTAATGTGGATTTTGGGATTCCCACGTTACCTCCAGTTAGTTAATAAACTCTTGGTTCTGGGAAAACAGTATGTGACTTGTTAAATAGGAATGCCAATAACATGGGGAATTTACATTCATCAGTTTGAATTCATAATAAAAACAATTCGTAACTCAGGTTAATTCACATTGCCCTTATAATCTGTGGGTATCACTCCCTCCCTTTAGCCCCAAAACGTGACGTTTTGAGGAGTTGGACAACTAAATCTGAGACCACACAGCTCAAGTTGCCTTTGGTTGTCCCTTTGGTTGTCGGATCAGTATGATTTCATAGCCAGGACCATATCTACAAAAGATGATAATGCCTACTAGTGCTCAGGCTAATCATGCCTACTAACATTTGTGAAGAGTTCTAAGAGAGCCCTTCACATAGTTTGTGAAAATCTCTCAAGTTATGTTGCTAGACAGACTCATTTGGACTACAAACCCATTCTGAAAGGTGTCCACGGACTGACTACTGAGTTGTGGCCTGCAGTGAGTTGGAGACCCAAGAGCTGAGGTCTGGGCGATCGGAAGACCTGAGTTTGGTCACGGTCTTTATCACTCAACATTAGTGACAAGACCTTAGGCAAGTCACTCTAATTCTTTGAATCCTATTTCCCATCTGAGGATATTTCGGGTCTGCAAATACAAGAACGTTGTTGGAAGTGACAGTGATTTACAAACTATAAAGTTCTTCATGAACATCACCTTTTCTTAACATCCCCACTTAATAGACTGCAAACTTGCAAGTCATGAAGGTCGAGCACCTCAATTTCGGCTGTTCACACAGCTAATAAGACATAGATGCAGGATAAAAACTCCTGTTTTATGTTACTGTTGTTTTTTACAACTATAGAGGACCAGAATAGACCATCAAATCCTGCGTCTTGTTTTACCCTTCAACCATAGGAACAAGCGTAGGAATGGAGTACAGTTTGCCAGAGGCTTTAACATATGAGTATTGCTAGTTTATTAGTTAACATCTGCTTTTTGGTGATGGGTGAAGGATTTATTGCAAGTAATAAGTAAAACCATGCTTACATGTGAAGATAGGGCTTGCCATTAAAATACCACTTTCAACTGAGAAACAGATCAATAGAGTCTGCTTGAAATTAAATTTAAATTTAAATTTAATTTAATTTAAAAATTTGTTTCTCCATTGACTATTCTTCACAATTACTCATTATCACCAATGTGTGGTTCATCTGAACAGCAAACTCACCAAGAAACTGTAGTACACAAACCATTTTCAGTCCGAAGTAAATATACATTTGAAAGCCATTTCTGCTTCATTGATGAAGCTACAAGTGACCCTCTCTAGATACAGAACAATTAAGATGATGTTTAACTGAAGATCCAGTGGTTCTGTGTAATGCATTTATTCAACTTTCTTACTTTTTTCTACAATAGGGGTAATGACTGAAACAGTCGATCTATGTCACAACAATAATCTAGATTATTCAAGCCAGACTTTTTAATACAATCTTCTGTTTTTGATTTTGAGGGTAAATATCTGCTTTTTGGGATGAGAGTTGGGATGTTGTCCTTGGTGGGTCTTAAATCTTCAGGGACACTAATGAAATGTGTATGAAAATGAGAGGAATCAGGGCTAGTTATCTGTGACAATCTACCTCTAAATGAGCAAATAAATAAATAAATAGCTGGATAAATGAGCAAAAAGGAAAAGGCATAATCTCATTTTCTCAAATCGGTTAAAACAAGTGACATGATGAGAAAAAATGAGACACAACCAGACCCTGGGCTTTGCCACATTTGCCTAAGCTTGAAAAATCACTTCTTTCATAAAGCAGGAGCTGGCAGACACGCTGTGCATACCAAGTATCCGGGAAATGTGAAAAATGACAAATCTTTCACTCAGAGCCCTGAATGAAGGGAGAGTTAAGGCCTTACAGCTGCCTCCTCACCTGCTTAGGAACGCCTCGCCCCCCTCCTGCTGGCCCATGCCCAATAAGATTGATGGCACTCGGGTCCCGTGCAGCCAATTCCAGTCTCTCAAGAAATAATCCACTACCCTGACAGATGAGTGGAATTTGACATGAGGTTCCTCTCGTTCAGATTGTGCCACACCTGGATAGCACCAGCCAACCCCGGGGCCTTCAGGGGAAATGGTTAGAGATTTGGTCCAATTTCTACTGTCAGAACACTAAATCGGGAGCAAGTTGTTGTGAAGCCGTGATTTTGTGATCTGTCTTCTCAATGCAGTGGGTTTGCACACAAACAGAATAAGAATACGTTAACGAGAAAAACGGACTCATTTTAATGTATTCTCCTGCAGTCCCTAAGTACTTCCTATTTTTCATATTTATGGTATTAGGAATGCACCATTTATTTTCAGTTATTCACCAGTTAAGGAAGATTAAAACAGTCAATCAAATGAAAATGAATTTTAAAATTACACAAACGAGTAAAATGTGCTATAGATGAACAGATTTGCAATTTCAGTAATTGAATATTTGACTAGATCAAGTTTTTATTTTGGAAATGGTGTAGGAATCATCATAATAACTTGAGAAATCAAATCTAGGGAAGACGCTTAATTTAAAAAGACAGGCCAAACAATTAAAAGTCAAGAGTGCTCTTCCATTATCTTCCGGAATTCAAATAGAGAACTTCGAGACTTTATAACCACCAGTTTTTGTGTAACAGGTATAAAAGGGTGAAGGGTTTGGTAAATGTAACTTTCTAATTTAGAATCACTCTTTCCCCTGGCTTCCCATTAGGGATGAATGAATTATGGTAGCCCTGTTTATGATTACTTAATTTTGACTGTCTATTGGGGGAGGTGGTAGTATACTTGAAACCTAATAAAATATGGATCATTTCAAAATACTTGAGAGAGAGAAGATCCTTGGGATTCTTTAGTTATTTAAAATTATATAGATAAATTGCATGAGGCAAGATGTCAAAAGTTCCTAATGAATCATTCATTTTTAAGTCACTGCTATTTTATTGACAGGAGTGTATAGAAATGATATACAAAATGATTACTCTGAATAGAGTTGTCTATGTAACTTATACTTGGCCTGATTTAAAGCTATATTAAGCAAACTATTCATAGTAGCAGTATTCATTTGTGATTTACGTATTATACACAGAATATCACCACTTAATTTTTAAAGTATGGTATATTTGTTAAAATATGAAGAAGCATTCTTGTGTTCCTTATACTTATTTTTATTTTACTTTTCAATAGAACTTTCTTGAGAACTGTTTAAGGAATGATATAGTCAAATATCATGGTACTTTACCATAAAGAGCTGTTTTATAGTCGTGATATCCAATGACTAGTGGAAAACAGTGGTTGCTTACTGACTTTTGAAGAATATGGCCAGTGTTAGGTTTCTCAGTGTAGTGAATTGGCCTTGGGATTAAAGCAGACAGGTTGTT